CTAGCCAACACAGACTTTCTAGCCAACACAGACTTTCTAGCCAACACAGACTTTCTAGCCAACACAGACTTTCTAGCCTACACAGACTTTCTAGCCAACACAGACTTTCTAGCCAACACAGACTTTCTAGCATACACAGATGATGTACTTTAAACACAGACTTTCTAGCCAACACAGACTTTCTAGCCAACACAGACTTTCTAGCCAACACAGACTTTCTAGCCTACACAGACTTTCTAGCCAACACAGACTTTCTAGCCAACACAGACTTTCTAGCCAACACAGACTTTCCTACCAACACAGACTTTCCAACCAACACAGACTTTCCAACCAACACAGACTTTCCAACCAACACAGACATTTCAACATAATTAACAATATAGCCAGCACATACAATACATTTTGAACACACATTTTCAAAATTGATTCACTATCTATCCCCCCGTACCACTCATGTACGTGAGTCTTGTCTCTCCCTCTTACAACCCCCGCCCCCCTCTTACAACCCCCGCCCCCCTCTTACAACCCCTGGCCCCCTCTTACAACCCCCGGCCCCCTCTTACAACCCCCGCCCCCCTCTTACAACCCCCGGCCCCCTCTTACAACCCCCGCCCCCCTCTTACAACCCCCGGCCCCCTCTTACAACCCCCGGCCCCCTCTTACAACCCCCGCCCCCCTCTTACAACCCCCGGCCCCCTCTTACAACCCCTGCCCCCCTCTTACAACCCCCCTCCTCCAAGCCTGCAGACCAGAGATAAGAAGACGGATCAACGAGATAATGCCGACTAACCCCTCCATTGACCTCCCGGATTAAGTAAGCGAGTCAGGTCGTCAAGTCGTGACATCATTATCGGCGAGTTAAAAAAATCATCGCTTCATGACAATAATGTAAAAATCGATGCGCATCAATCGATAAACACGGCCATTTTATGACTTGGTCTGATGTTCACTGCTTAAAGTATTGATTTTATCGCATACCAAGTTTGACACATACATCAAAGTAGTTATGCAATGCTAATCCGGTTATATGCAATGTCAACGATTTTCTGAACATACTAGAGGTTTTTAATCATCTTTAAGTTTACTCAGACGAAGACGAAGTGTCGAAACATCTTGATGATTATCGCAATAAGGTTCTTAAGTACTTTTCTTTTCCTTATACAAGCAGGACAATCATCACATTAGCATTGTTTACTGCTGACTCCATCTACTATTATATTGGTTAGAATACACGTTTTGTAACGGTGTAGTTTAGCTAAGACGTTATAGTAGACATGCTAAAGGTAAGATGTGCTGTTGTAAGGTTGTTGTTAACACACAAAGGTAGTACACAAGGTGTGATGTATTACTGCTGAGAGAAACACGTCGTTTCCGTGTAACACGGTGCCGGCGCCAGCACTAAACACCATCTTTATTAATTAACCAACGACACACACACACACGGACTGCATTAGTTATAGGAAACGAGAAAAGACAGCGCGAGGGGAGGGAGTGTTTGAGTGAGTGAATATGTGTGTGTGTGTGTGTGAGAGAGAGAGAGAGAGAGAGAGAGAGAGAGAGAGAGAGAGAGAAGGCGGGTGTGTAGAATTACAGCATCTTAAATCGTCTTACGTAACACGATGGTAGGAGATTATTGGAACAGGTATGCAAATTGTAAGAGTTCTTCCCCCTGTGGGATTTACCCTGCTCACCCACTCGAGCCGTTATAACTAAGGATGTAACAATGAGCTATGAGTTGAACACTGCCCTGATCTGAGCCAGGCTGTACTTAGACTTATGAGACAAGTAATCAAATAGACAATAGCTGGTGTCAGAAGATCCAGCGTCTCCAACAAGTGAGTTCGTGGATCCAGAAAGCTGTACAAGAACTGTAGGAGCAGCTGGCAAGTTGTCATAGGGAACAAGAAATAAAATGTTTCCAGAGGTTGGAACTCTGGCGCCGTGTGTCGTGTACAGGTCGTGATGGGTTCGTGTTGGTGTCTGGGGGTGTGTGGTGAATACTGAAAGGGGGGGGGTGAATAGTGGGGGAGGTATGGTTAAACCGGGGGGGGGGGGGTATGGTGAATACCGGGGGGGGGGGGTGAATAGTGGGGGAGGTATGGTGAAAACTGGGTGGGGGGGTATGGTGAATACTGAGGGGGGGGGGGGGTGGGGTGAATACCGGGGAGGTATGGTTAATACGGGGGGTTATGGTGAATACTGGGGAAGGTATGGTGAATACTGGGGGGGGGGGGGTATGGTGAATACTGAGGGGGTGGGGTGAATACCGGGGAGGTATGGTTAATACGGGGGGGGGGGGGTTATGGTGAATACTGGGGAAGGTATGGTGAATACTGAGGGGGGGGGGGGGGGTGGGGTGAATACCGGGGAGGTATGGTTAATACGGGGGGTGGGGGTTACGGTGAATACTGGGGGAGGTATGGTGAACACAGGAGGTGCAAAGAGAGGGGTCGTACAAAGAGTGTAGTAGGATATGAAAAAAAGAGGGTTTTAATGCCACACACCAACTTTTTCCCCCGAATATGTTAACTTATAGGGGGAAGGAGTTGTGTAAAACAGAATATATAGAAAACACTCAATATATCATAGGCCATCTAGAACAGATTCTATGGGCGTCATGTAAGCCGTTACGTTCATGAAAAACCCAAGGAAGAAACTGGGAACTTAAAACATGAGACAATAAAAGAAGGTAATGTTAAATTCTGTAGAAATTGAATGGAGAGAATACAACCACCAAATAGCTCACGTGCCCTCTTCGCCCTCAGCCCCTCCCCCCAAATTACCATCCCATTAGCCAACAACCGGCTACACCTTTAAGATCCTAGATGTTAACAGGTATAAACCAGACGGGGATGAAAACAACACCCCCCCCCCTTTCCTCCACCCACCCACATTAAATATAAATGAAGTCAAACCATGGCCCAGACATCAAGACATTGACCCCTTCCGGTCATTAATGCCATGGGGGAGGATGAACAGCGTCTGTCCGTGACTTTAGGCCTGTCTGCCATTACACGAAGACAGCAGATAGTTGAGGCAGAGACGTGTGGTTATCTCACCACAGCAGATAGTTGAGGCAGAGACGTGTGGTTATCTCACCACAGCAGATAGTTGAGGCAGAGACGTGTGGTTATCTCACCACAGCAGATAGTTGAGGCAGTGACGTGTGGTTATCTCACCACAGCAGATAGTTGAGGCAGAGACGTGTGGTTATCTCACCACAGCAGATAGTTGAGGCAGAGACGTGTGGTTATCTCACCACAGCAGATAGTTGAGGCAGAGACGCGTGGTTATCTCACCACAGCAGATAGTTGAGACAGAGACGTGTGGTTATCTCACCACAGCAGATAGTTGAGGCAGAGACGTGTGGTTATCTCACCACAGCAGATAGTTGAGACAGAGACGTGTGGTTATCTCACCACAGCAGATAGTTGAGGCAGAGACGTGTGGTTATCTCACCACAGCAGATAGTTGAGGCAGAGACGTGTGGTTATCTCACCACAGCAGATAGTTGAGGCAGAGACGCGTGGTTATCTCACCACAGCAGATAGTTGAGACAGAGACGTGTGGTTATCTCACCACAGCAGATAGTTGAGGCAGAGACGTGTGGTTATCTCACCACAGCAGATAGTTGAGACAGAGACGTGTGGTTATCTCACCACAGCAGATAGTTGAGGCAGAGACGTGTGGTTATCTCACCACAGCAGATAGTTGAGGCAGAGACGTGTGGTTATCTCACCACAGCAGATAGTTGAGGCAGAGACGTGTGGTTATCTCACCACAGCAGATAGTTGAGGCAGAGACGTGTGGTTATCTCACCACAGCAGATAGTTGAGGCAGAGACGTGTGGTTATCTCACCACAGCAGATAGTTGAGGCAGAGACGTGTGGTTATCTCACCACAGCAGATAGTTGAGGCAGAGACGTGTGGTTATCTCACCACAGCAGATAGTTGAGGCAGAGGCGTGTGGTTATCTCACCACAGCAGATAGTTGAGGCAGAGACGTGTGGTTATCTCACCACAGCAGATAGTTGAGGCAGAGGCGGGTGGTTATCTCACCACAGCAGATAGTTGAGGCAGAGACGTGTGGTTATCTCACCACAGCAGATAGTTGAGGCAGAGACGTGTGGTTATCTCACCACAGCAGATAGTTGAGGCAGAGACGTGGGGTTATCTCACCACAGCAGATAGTTGAGGCAGAGACGTGTGGTTATCTCACCACAGCAGATAGTTGAGGCAGAGACGTGTGGTTATCTCACCACAGCAGATAGTTGAGGCAGAGACGTGTGGTTATCTCACCACAGCAGATAGTTGAGGCAGAGACGTGTGGTTATCTCACCACAGCAGATAGTTGAGGCAGAGACGTGTGGTTATCTCACCACAGCAGATAGTTGAGGCAGAGACGTGTGGTTATCTCACCACAGCAGATAGTTGAGACAGAGACGTGTGGTTATCTCACCACAGCAGATAGTTGAGGCAGAGACGTGTGGTTATCTCACCACAGCAGATAGTTGAGGCAGAGACGTGTGGTTATCTCACCACAGCAGATAGTTGAGGCAGAGACGTGTGGTTATCTCACCACAGCAGTCACGCCGAGATTTACGGTGCGTGTTTTAAATTACCCACAGGACAGATTAGACCGTGAGTTACAGGGCCAAACGAGTACGGAACATGGCGCTTTACACATGTTTATGGTGAACTTATCCATGTTTAAACCATTTCAGATAAGCAAGCAGGAAATATTAAAAGGGATCGAATTGATAGCAGGGCTATGGTAAGTAAAAGCCGCTAGTTAAGTCATGGTAATGTCCATATTAAACACCCCATGCCGTGAAAACAAACGTAAAATCGACTCTGTGAAGTGAACGGAAGCGGACAGAAATTAATTAAACTACCGAAAAGACACCGATTTCTTGTGGTTGGGGGTGTATCGTGAAGCATGAGTAGCCTACAATTCGTGAAGCGTGAGTAACCTACAATAGATGACGATAAGGACATACCCGCTGAGCGCTTCCAAGCCTTCCACAGGTCGTCCACGCTGATGAGCTTGTCGTTGTTGTGGAACAGTGCCTGACGCTCGAAACCATCGGTGTACTGGAGCTCGTCACGGAGGAACTGGGAAGACAATACGTTAGGGTTAGGTGCTAGAGGTGGCTAAGTGGAACACAATAAGTTAGGGTTAGGTACAATAGGGGGATAAGTGGAACACAATAAGTTAGGGTTAGGTACAATAGGGGGATAAGTGGAACAAAATAAGTTAGGGTTAGGTACAATAGGGGGATAAGTGGAACAAAATAAGTTAGGGTTAGGTACTAGAGGTGGCTAAGTGGAACACAATAAGTTAGGGTTAGGTACAATAGGGGGATAAGTGGAACACAATACATTAGGCTTAGGTACAATAGGGGGATAAGTGGAACAAAATATGTTAGGGTTAGGTGCTAGAGGTGGCTAAGTGGAACACAATAAGTTAGGGTTAGGTACAATAGGGGGATAAGTGGAACAAAATATGTTAGGGTTAGGTACTAGAGGGGGATAAGTGGAACACAATAAGTTAGGGTTAGGTACAATAGGGGGATAAGTGGAACAAAATATGTTAGGGTTAGGTACTAGAGGGGGATAAGTGGAACACAATAAGTTAGGGTTAGGTACAATAGGGGGATAAGTGGAACAAAATAAGTTAGGGTTAGGTACAATAGGGGGATAAGTGGAACAAAATAAGTTAGGGTTAGGTACAATAGGGGGATAAGTGGAACAAAATACGTTAGGGTTAGGTAAAATAGGGGGATAAGTGGAACAAAATATGTTAGGGTTAGGTACAATAGGGGGATAAGTGGAACAAAATATGTTAGGGTTAGGTGCTAGAGGGGGATAAGTGGAACAAAATATGTTAGGGTTAGGTACAATAGAGGGATAAGTGGAACAAAATATGTTAGGGTTAGGTGCTAGAGGGGGATAAGTGGAACAAAATATGTTAGGGTTAGGTGCTAGAGTTGGCTAAGTGGAACAAAATATGTTAGGGTTAGGTGCTAGAGGGGGATAAGTGGAACAAAATATGTTAGGGTTAGGTAAAATAGGGGGATAAGTGGAACAAAATATGTTAGGGTTAGGTGCTAGAGGGGGATAAGTGGAACAAAATATGTTAGGGTTAGGTAAAATAGGGGGATAAGTGGAACAAAATATGTTAGGGTTAGGTACAATAGGGGGATAAGTGGAACAAAATACGTTAGGGTTAGGTGCTAGAGTTGGCTAAGTGGAACAAAATATGTTAGGGTTAGGTACTAGAGGGGGATAAGTGGAACAAAATATGTTAGGGTTAGGTACTAGAGGGGGATAAGTGGAACAAAATATGTTAGGGTTAGGTACTAGAGGGGGATAAGTGGAACAAAATATGTTAGGGTTAGGTACAATAGGGGGATAAGTGGAACAAAATATGTTAGGGTTAGGTACTAGAGGGGGATAAGTGGAACAAAATATGTTAGGGTTAGGTACAATAGGGGGATAAGTGGAACAAAATACGTTAGGGTTAGGTGCTAGAGTTGGCTAAGTGGAACAAGATATGTTAGGGTTAGGTGCTAGAGTTGACTTTAAGTTTGGGGAGGAAATACGTGCTCTCATCTATTATTGGGAGGAGGGAATAGTCATATACATTACAATTGGGAATAGGGGTGTTCATATCCATAGCTGAGGGGTATATGGGTGTTAACAGCCACTACAGGAATCGAGGCTTATAAATGAAGAAGAACGAGGGAATGGGGGATGTTCACATTCAACAATAGAGTAAGATAAGGGATGTTCAATTTTTCACTTGGAATAGAAAATATGGGTGGTCACATCAATCAGAGGAGGGTGGGGGGGGGGGGGTATGGTATTCAGATCCTGTACAAGAAGGTGGAAATAGAACATATAGTAAGAGAAGACCATGCTCATAAAAAGTCACATTTTTTCCACACAGAGGTAGGGTGGATTGTGTAGCTTGAGCTACGCCTTGGAGGAAATCAAAGTTAAAAGGAAATAAACTTTAACAGAAAAACTTTACTTAAGCTGTAAAACAGAATACCTTTACTCACACAGAAAACTTATTTCAAAACGAATTTACTTAAATAGAAAGGCGAATCTACTATTTTATCAAGCAAGACAAATTGGAAATATATAAATGAAATATAAATGCGGGTTTTACACTAATCACATAAGACATGCATGTATGGAAGTGTCGATATATGTGTATGTATACAATTAAGTGTGCATGTGTATTTACGTATGAATATGTGTGTGTGTGTGTACGTGAATGAGTGCGTGTATCTTTGTTATGAGACACCAGTACAAAAAAGTCAAACAACGAACACTGCCTTTATCATTCGTCGACTAAGCAAAAAAAAAAAAAAAAAAAAGAAAGAAAACCAGATGGGAAAATACAGTAGACTACAACACACACACATCACACTGTAACCCACAGTGACAAGCCGACGATACCCTACACTCTTATTGCAGGAGTTGGTGAGGATGAAAACAAACGTAGAGAAAACAAATAAAAAAGCCACGGGATAGCCATTTCATTAATGAACATAAAAATGAACGGCTTTCTCCATTCCAAAGATCCCGCCTATAAGAATAAATAAATTACGTTAAAGACGGAAGGAAAGGAGAATTTTATAGAACTTTCGATGGTGTACACAATACACGTATCAGCTGATGTACACAATACACGTATCAGTCGGTGTACACAATACACGTATCAGCCGGTGTACACAATACACGTATCAGCCGGTGTACACAATACACGTATCAGCCGGTGTACACAATACACGTATCAGCCGATGTACACAATACACGTATCAGCCGGTGTACACAATACACATAGCCGATGTACACAATACACGTATCAGCCGGTGTACACAATACACGTATTAGCCGGTGTACACAATACACATAGCCGATGTACACAATACACATAGCCGTTGTACACAATACACGTATCGAGGAAACGTTCCCACACCTTCCACAGGTGGGTGAGACCCCACCCCTCCCCCCCCCCCCTAGCTGACCAAAAACAAAACGTCCCTTCTTAGCTTACCAGCGAATTAAATTATTCATCATTAGAAAAAATAAATATTTTTCTTATTGCTCCAAAATCTACAGGACAATCACCTCTTGATCTCATCTTACAATTAGCGGTTAGATTTGTTTATAAATTTTTACTAACAGGCACAAGTATAGGGATGGGTGTGTATTTAGATAAGGAAAATATCTAAGTATAAAAATAAAATCTAAGCATTATAAAATTAGCCTCGTTATAGTTGTTTTCTTGTGTTTACCACTAAAACATTAAAATAAGCGCCTGTTGAGAACAAATACACATGAACTAGTAAATCAATAATGCTGGCTGAACTAGGACAGTGGATATACTAAAGTAAGATACTGGATAAGCTAACTAGGGCAGTGGATAGGCTGACTAGGGCAGTGGATAGGCTGAACTAGGGTAGTGGATAGGCTAAGGCTAACTAGGACAGTGGATAGGCTGAACTAGGGCAGTGGATAGACTGAACTAGAACAGTGGATAGACTGAACTAGGGCAGTGGATAGACTGAACTAGGGCAGTGGATAGACTGAACTAGGACATTAGATAGACTGAACTAGGACAGTGGATAGACTGAACTAGGACAGTGGATAGACTGAACTAGGACATTAGATAGACTGAACTAGGACAGTGGATAGACTGAACTAGGACAGTGGATATGCTAAAGTAGGACAGTGGATAGACTGAACTAGGACATTAGATAGACTGAACTAGGACAGTGGATAGACTGAACAAGGACAGTGGATATGCTAAAGTAGGACAGTGGATAGACTAAACTAGGACAGTGGATAGGCTGAACTAGGACACTGGATATGCTTTAGTAGGACACTGTGGATAGACTGAACTAGGACACTGGATAGGCTGACTAGGGCAGTGGATAGGCTGAACTATGACATTAGATAGACTGAACTAGGACAGTGGATAGACTGAACTAGGACAGTGGATAGACTGAACTAGGACAGTGGATAGACTGAACTAGGACAGTGTATAGACTGAACTAGGACAGTGGATAGGCTAACTAGGACATTAGATAGACTGAACTAGAACAGTGGATAGGCTGACTAGGACAGTGGATAGACTGAACTAGGACATTAGATAGACTGAACTAGGACATTAGATAGACTGAACTAGGACATTAGATAGACTGAACTAGGACATTAGATAGACTGAACTAGAACAGTGGATAGACTGAACTTGGACATTAGATACACTGAACTAGGACAGTGGATAGGCTGACTAGGACAGTGGATAGACTGAACTAGGACAGTGGATAGGCTGAACTAGGACATTAGAAAGACTGAACTAGGACAGTGGATAGACTGAACTAGGACAGTGGATAGGCTGAACTAGGACAGTGGATAGACTGAACTAGGACATTAGATAGACTGAACTAGGACAGTGGATAGACTGAACTAGGACAGTGGATAGACTGAACTAGGACAGTGGATAGACTGAACTAGGACAGTGGATAGACTGAACTAGGACAGTGGATGGACTGAACTAGGACAGTGGATAGACTGAACTAGGACATTAGATAGACTGAACTAGGGCAGTGGATATGCTGAACTAGGACAGTGGATAGGCTGAACTAGGACAGTGGATAGACTGAACTAGGACATTAGATAGACTGAACTAGGACATTAGATAGGCTGAACTAGGACAGTGGATAGACTGAACTAGGGCAGTGGATAGGCTGACTAGGACAGTGGATAGATTGAACTAGGACAGTGGATAGACTGAACTAGGACAGTGGATAGACTGAACTAGGACGGTGGATAGACTGACAAGGACATTGGAGACATAGCTGACTATGACACTTGAATCAGATAAAAACTGTTGTTAGATGATAACATTTGTTACAAAACGTCGATCGACAAAAGCAGGAAATGTGTGAGAGAAGATAATAATATAGCTCTTTAGAAGAAGAAAAAAAACCTAGCCATAAACTTAAAAACTGCCTGTGAAATATCTGCAATGAAAGATCTGCCCAGGACAGAGAAAACACCCTCAAGCAAACAGGGAAGGAAAGCTTAGCATACAACCCCGTTTTTGTAGCCAAGCCATGAAATTTTAATTGCCTGTTGAATAAGTGTAATGAATGTTCTGTTACAAACAGACAAAAAACACCCTCTAGCAAACAGCGAGTCCTCATGAAAAAAAAATATATCTTAGCATATTTGCCACACAAAAAAAAAGCGGATCTTGAGAAGGTTTACAATTCAAGAAATTAACTTTCAAAAATTACCCGTACCAACTCAATAAAACACTAGACTTGTAAAAACAACCAAAGGGGCATTAAGATACAAGAAAAATAAAATAAAAGAAATCATTATGGCACCGTACATTTTCTAGAGTAAAATAGATAAATCAGCAAAGCTAATAAAATAGATATACCTGCAACGTTGCGTCAGAATGCCACACATTCCTTTATATATAAAAAAAGAAAACCAACCGGCAATGTATCAGACAACCGATATGTTACAGCATAAAAATTCACACACCTCATTGAGGAACACACACGATTTTATAAAATTTTAAAAATATAGTTCACCAGAAAGAAAGAAGTGAGTATAGGTAAGGCTTACATATTTCTTCAAGACTCGGATGTCAAGCTGCAGGACTCCGAAGAAAACAACGATGTAGAACACAAGATACTTGAGCTTGTACGGCTCGACTTTCACGCGGACCTCCTTGGGGTTGTCCAGTGGCTTGTCCAGGGACTTAGCCAGGGCGTCGTTGGCCTCCAGCCTGCTGTAGATGTCCAGTCGGCTGGAGGACAGTCCCACATACGAGGACTGGGACCTGCTCCTACACCGGCCAGTCTGAACCAACAGGTTTTTCGTGCAGCCCATTCTAACGCCAGGACTAGCGAAATTTGACATCGGGTGAAAACTAAAGGAAACTGTCTGCACGGAATGAGAACTTAATCCAACAGATCTCTCCCACTATAACAGATTATCATTCACCTGATGTTTAGTCTAAAATAAAAATAAAATACATAACTAAAATATAACTTTAAAAAAATAATATTTGTATCGCAATAAGCTATAAAACAGATAGATTAACCTCACTGCGGCTACCATTTGTATTTGTATCGCATCAACTTACTAACACCGATTTAAAAAAAAAAAGATTTTACAATACTGAAATGTATAAAAACCGAAAAATATAAAGATCTATACCATCTATAGATTGCTATCTTATCCTAAAAAGTAACCATCAATAAAATTTGTATCGGTATTCAAAAGCGCATTTAAATTGACTGCATTATCTAAATCTAAATCAAACTGACAATTTTCTGCTGAATAAACCTTTTCGATGAGCTACCCCTTACTGTAGACGACAGAGCTACCCCTTACTGTAGACGACGAGCTACCCCTTACTGTAGACGACAAGCATCACATCCTTGCTGCCATGGGTGGTGACTGACTGGACCTAGCGGCTCCCTGCTCCAAGTGCCAGCAGGTACTGCCCGCCCCCAGGTTCTTATCGTCCACACCCTGCGGCCCCGGGGATTGAAGGTCAGCCCAGCCCTGCTCGCCTATACTTCGTGTTTGTTTTTCTCTAGCCTATGATTAATTATGTATCCTTTTATAAGGACAAATGGATGCCGCATTATCCCCCTTTCAGCGAGGCCATAACTTTGACAAATCGGGACACATGTATGTGATGGTAAGCAGAAAAACAAGGGGAAATACGTATATACTGCACAATTCAAACGCAGTTCACTGTAAACAGAAATGACGTAAAAATTACTCCTTATGATCGAATATCCAATCTGTCCTATTTCATAAAACCAAATTTTTTTTTCAAAATAACCTAAAATAGTATTTGCCACAACAAAATCAAGATCTAATAAAGAAATAAAAAACTTAATTGCTAAAGAATAACTAATTTGGTACAACCAAATATCAATTTATAATATAGTTTCTAACCACGAATAATATCAATAATATCACACTCTAATTCCCTACACTAAACACAAAATCAAACAAACAACAATAATGTGTCTGCGCTAGATCGGCCATCCTAATCCCAGTGAACGCGGATATTGAGTTAAAAAAAAAACGTCAATCCGAGTCAACTGAACAAAGATAAATCTGCTGGAGATTCTACTCAACAACAACACACACACACAAACAATACTCAAGACATGAATCCAGTCCCACTACACTTAACAGGCCGCCGCCTTTATCGTCCACTGTGTCTTATATACCAACCCAGATTTGGCTGACCATCAAAACAAACGTACATGTGTATCACAAGACAGTACTCGAGTCGTACAAGATGACACCCACCCGCACTTCACCTCAACGATATTTTCTTTAGACAGCAGCAAATATTTATCATACCATAACGTGGTCCACATAATCCAGTGACCAGCATACCTTGTCTGACAAACAGCACGACAACTATTTGATACCACGATGGCGATTGTGTAATACATCTGTCAATATTGACATCAGCATCTGTGGTGTAGACCCTCCACCCCCCACCCCGCTGGTCTTGATGCTGATGTTAACCCCCACCATTAAAATAACAGTGAGTGAGTTGGGTGTCAGTTCAACGTTAGAAAGAATTGAAAGTCCTCAAGAAAAACAAATTACACTCGTAGAGGTTAATGAACAACTGAAATTTGGTTTATGGTCACCGGAATACAAACTGAATGAATGTAACTTTTAAAAAAATATTTAACACAATGAATAGAGCGAAAAGTGGATAATATATGTTTACACACTGAATACTTAAGCGCTGCCACGCTTATACTTGTTTAGTATCTTTTACTTTCTCTCTTTTTAGTGAATTTATAAAATTTCATTAAAATCTTTATATATATATATATATATATATATATATATATATATATATATATATATATATATATATATATATATATATATATATATATATATATATATATATTATACTAGGAATACGAATCGAGTGTATAAATCGAGACACTAGGTCAGTTATATTAGTAATACTTAAAATCGAATTTTTAAATTAATTTTTTAAAAGTTAATCATCTTTGTTAAAATTAAATCACACTGCATTATCACAGATTGAAAAACATGTCAAGTTTGGAAGAAAGCGGTTCGGTATTAATGGGTGACATTTCAATCTCAAGATTCCATTTATGACTGACGGCATTAGGGACGAGGCACTGAGCAAGCAAGAGAAATCATGTTTAACAAAAGCTCACTATAAGTTAATTTGATATATTGCTTAACTAATAAGAATAAACGATGCACTCAGCATATTTAATATCTAATGATCAGGTTCCCAGTAATTACAAAACACTTTTTAAGTTTTCAATTTGACGTACCTGGTTGTGTCCTATGATGACGCAAAGTATGACGTCAACACAAGTAAAAGAAAAAATCTTAGCCACGCTAAATAAATGACGCTATTAATCGATTGCGGACAAAACAAAGACATTTCGGGAGACAGGAGGAAGAACATATGTTTTAGAGAGATTCTGGAGACTATTTAGAAGTGTTTCCGTACAAAAGGGCTTCCCACGAGGGAAGCTATTTGATAGGAGTGGCGGACAACTTAGGAATGGACAGTCAAGATACGTACGGCGATTGTTAGACACGACATTAGCTAAAGGTGTTATAAACCCAATACAATAGAGAGGTGGTACCAACCCAGTACAACCAGAGAGGTGGTAACAACCCAGTACAACCAGAGAGTGGTACCAACCCAGTACAAATAGAGAGGTGGTACCAACCCAGTACAACCAGAGATGGTACCAACCCAGTACAACCAGAGAGGTGGTAACAACCCAGTACAACCAGAGAGGTGGTACCAACCCAGTACAACAGAGAGGTGGTACCAACCCAGTACAACCAGAGAGGTGGTACCAACCCAATACAGCCCGACCCAGTACAACCAGAGGTGGTACCAACCCAGTACAACAGAGAGGTGGTACCAACCCAATACAGCCCGACCCAGTACAACCAGAGGTGGTACCAACCCAGTACAACAGAGAGGTGGTACCAACCCAATACAGCCCGACCCAGTACAACCAGAGGTGGTACCAACCCAGTACAACAGAGAGGTGGTACCAACCCAATACAGCCCGACCCAGTACAACCAGAGAGGTGGTACCAACCCAGTACAACCCGACCCAGTACAACCAGAGATGTACCAACCCAGTACAACCAGAGAGGTGGTACCAACCCAGTATAACCCAACCCAGTACAACCAGAGAGGTGGTACCAACCCAGTACAACCAGAGAGGTGGTACCGACCCAGTACAACCAGAGGTGGTACCAACCCAGTACAACAGAGAGGTGGTACCAACCCAGTACAACAGAGAGGTGGTACCAACCCAGTACAACCACAGAGGTGGTACCAACCCAGTACAACCAGAGAGGTGGTACCAACCCAGTACAACCACAGAGGTGGTACCAACCCAGTACAACCAGAGAGGTGGTACCAACCCAGTACAACCAGAGGTGGTACCAACCAGTACAACCAGAGAGGTGGTACCAACCCAGTACAACCAGAGAGGTGGTACCAACCCAGTACAACCAGAGAGGTGGTACCAACCCAGTACAAGGGGGAAGGTACCAACCCAGTACAACCAGAGGTGGTACCAACCAAGTACAACAGAGAGGTGTTACCAACCCAGTACAACAGATAGGTGGTACCAACCCAGTACAACCACAGAGGTGGTACCAACCCAGTACAACCAGAGAGGTGGTACCAACCCAGTACAACCAGAGAGGTGGTACCAACCCAGTACAACCACAGAGGTGGTACCAACCCAGCACAACCAGAGAGGTGGTACCAACCCAGTACAACCAGAGAGGTGGTACCAACCCAGTACAACCACAGAGGTGGTACCAACCCAGTACAACCAGAGAGGTGGTACCAACCCAGTACAACCAGAGAGGTGGTACCAACCCAGTACAACCAGAGAGGTGGTACCAACCCAGTACAACCAGAGAGGTGGTACCAACCCAGTACAACCAGAGAGGTGGTACCAACCCAGTACAAGGGGGAAGGTACCAACCCAGTACAACAGAGAGGTGGTACCAACCCAGTACAACCAGAGAGGTGGTACCAACCAAGTACAACCAGAGAGGTGGTACCAACCCAGTACAACCAGAGAGGTGGTACCAACCCAGTACAACCAGAGAGGTGGTACCAACCCAGTACAACCAGAGAGGTGGTACCAACCCAGTACAACCACAGAGGTGGTACCAACCCAGTACAACCAGAGGTGGTACCAACCAAGTACAACCAGAGAGGTGGTACCAACCCAGTACAACCAGAGAGGTGGTACCAACCCAGTACAACCAGAGAGGTGGTACCAACCAAGTACAACCAGAGAGGTGGTACCAACCCAGTACAACCAGAGAGGTGGTACCAACCCAGTACAACCAGAGAGGTGGTACCAACCCAGTACAACAACAGAGGTGGTACCAACCCAGTACAACAACAGAGGTGGTACCAACCCAGTACAACCAGAGAGGTGGTACCAACCCAGTACAACCACAGAGGTGGTACCAACCCAGTACAACCACAGAGGTGGTACCAACCCAGTACAACCAGAGAGGTGGTACCAACCCAGTACAACCAGAGATGGTACCAACCCAGTACAACCAGAGAGGTGGTACCAACCCAGTACAACCAGAGAGGTGGTGCCAACCCAGTACAACCAGAGAGGTGGTGCCAACCCAGTACAACCCGACCCAGTACAACCAGAGAGGTGGTTTATTAAAGTACAATTGTTTTTTTTTTAAATACACACATTGGTGCGTAGTCTGACGCAATGACTGTTAACCGTAAGTGCCATGATTTTGTAACTAGTCCCTCTGTGAGCAACATGACGTCATTGACCACTTCCGGGAATGCTTTTCACTTTTGTACTGTTGGTTTCTTTTTTATGTCTTTTTACAAAGTCTGTGGAAGACACTTGTTGCAACCCCCCCCCCCCAATGAAATTTTTTGTTGTGTAGAGGATGGAGTAAAATCGATGGTTGGGTGGGGAGTGAGCTAAAACATTCCTATACCTTAGAGTCGTGTATACAGATTAAATGTTCTACAGATAAGGTCTACAGATTTTAACCCATCGAAGGTTAAGGGAGATGGGCTGTTTTATTCAGTCCCCGAATGCAACATTCGATGCCTTGTGTAAACTATAAGGGCGTGGCAACCTTTCAGTAATCCACAAAGTAGACACTAGGGGTAGAGAATAGCATAGAGTACTATTTGCATGGTCTGTTAGACTCGACTGAATCGATATTTTTTAGAGAAGTCAAACGTATTTCAGACTAAATCAATGCCGACATTTTAGGGAAAAAAGGGCAGTTAAAACAGCCCGATAAAAGAAATTCAGAGGGTAGTGTTCCCGAAATTATGGCTTCCGACAATACGGCTGTAATAAATTGTCCGTTTTGTCATCGGATCAGTTCGCCTCCATTGAAATCCACGTGGTCGGCTGTTTCGTGATATAATGGTCGGCTGCTTCATAATATAACCATGTTCTATAACAATA